AGTCCGTGCGTGTTGTAGCATGCATCCGTACTTCATTTATGTTTATTACCAAGTAATATTCCACTGTATGGACAGATCACATTGTATTTATCTTCCCAAGTATGTAGCCTTGGCCATATGCACAACCTATCGGGATGACAGTGGTTACAGCAGGGCTGTCTGTTTCTTTCCATAATCTTTATGTTACACTATCTGCCTCATTTGCTATTATCACACCCAGATTCTGGGCTCCACTCTGATCACTCTGCTGTTTTTGACAGTCCCTGAAGTATAACTGCTCCAGAGGCTGGCCCAATTAAATGTGGGCAGAAGGAAGTTTTGAAGCCAGTCTTCCAAGTTTGTTTTGACCTCAGATGGGCTCTTCTTAACTGTCTCTTTCCCTGGTTCTCTAAAACTACTGTTTCGCTCATTGCCCTAATGGAGCTACTAGCCTCCTTTTCCTTTGTTTATCACCAAAATCTCCATTGATTTTGACAACTTGAGGCTTGAGCTTCCTCAGCCTCTGTTTCAAGCAGTCAATCCTTTGGGGGAAGCTTTAGCGCTTTCTGGTCCTATGAGCCAACTCTCCCATTGGGCAAAATCTTTGAGCCACCCTTCCAAGAACAGGGCAGGGATGGTGGCCTCTGGTCTTCTGAGCTTACCTTTCTGGGCACAGAACCTCCACCCTAAATGCCAGCAAGCAGGGCAATCGGGACCATCCTCTTCTTGGCCTGCTGCGGCTGAGGTAGACTCTCCACTCTGTGACGGGGCTGAGAGGATGACGGGAGACCCTGACTTCTCAGCTGCACTCACCAGGAGTCGGACATCTGCAGCTTAGAGTTCAAGGAGGTTGGAAAGGCTGGCCTGGCCCTTATGATGAGACCCCACGTCCCTTGGTTGAGACGTGAGGAAAGAAGGAGGCTTCCTCTTGTGCACACCATGTAGAGGGAGTTTCTGGAGATTAGGTGAGCTGGGGACAAATCATGGCTCCAGTACCCCAGAACCTCTCTGTTGTCGTCATGTTTCAGTGGATTTTTTTTTGAATGAATGTTTCTTATTTATTAGACACTCCTAAGACACTTTGCAGAGACTTTTTTGGTCATTTGGGGGTTTTGGCTGTGTGGGACTTTTGTTTGTGTTTCGCTGTGCAGTTTTTGACAGTTGTGCTTTTCTGGCTGCTGGTGGATTTGTGGGGCTCCTCACTGCCACTGTGGCTGTAGAACCCCTAGAATTACTTTTTTAAAGAACTGTGCCAAAGGTTGCCTCACATATCCTGCACTTCCACTTCCTTATAGTACATGAGAATAATGATCCACACGACAGGCCCCAGGACAGATCACCCTGCAGCCCATTATCCCCTTCTTCTCTCCTCCCCTCTCACTTTTGGGGAGAGAAAAGTACTTTAAGTGAGAAGTATACTTGAACACTGTAAAAGAGTGATCTTCAGACTTGAACCAGGGTTCTTCTAGAGGTCTGGCTTATGAGAAAATACTTTCACAGAACCACAAACAAGCAACATGACTCAGGGTCCCTTTTCTCTTCCTTTCTCTCTCTCTTACCACCTCCCCCTACCCCACCCTCTCCCAGTGATGACATTCTGCTAACATTTGGGAATTATTAAGTTAAAGGATTGAATAGCTAAAAGAATAAAATTCAGACAGTCCATATAAAGATATAAATGTAAGTAAGTGGTTAATAACCAGTGTTCTCTTAGATGAATTACGTAGCAGTCTGAACCTTGACATAATCCCCACACATGCTCTCTTTTTCTCCCCTCCTTCTTCCACGTTCCTTCTTCCTCTCTTTCTATTAAGAAATGGGAATCAGCCGGGCTCGGTGGCTCAGCCTGTAATCCCACGCCTTTGGGAGGCTGAGGTGAGTGGATTGACTGAGCCCGCGGGTTCGGGACCCACCTGGGCAGCAAGACCTCATCTCTACAATAAATCAAAAAATTAGCCAGACATGGTAGCGCGCACCTGTAGTTCCAGCTACTTAGAAGGATCGCTGGAGCCCAGCAGGTCGAGGCTGCGGTGGTCAGGAGCGGCTACTGCACTCCAGTCTGGGCGACAGAGTGAGACTCCAACTCAAAAAATAAAATAAAATAAAATAAAATAAAATAAAATAAGAGATGAAACAGGATTGGAGGAGCTAACCTATGCCTTGCCAAGCCAAAACATTATTTGTCGTGTTTGCTGGATTTTGGTGTAGCTTATGCAACGACTCGGAATTTTATATGACTGGGATTGTGGATGTGATCCCAAGAGAAGTTACAATTGAGACTCACCTTTAATTCCACCTTGTAGCAGTGTTAGAGCTGGCCGGGGACAAATAGCATCTTGTCTTCAGCTTCTCCTATAGGTAGTGTTGAGCAACTAGAATCTATTAAAATTGATTCATAAACTGCTTCAAACTCTTTGATCTCTTTTAAAGGTGTGGAACCAGTCAGTGAGAAAAGATCATCAAGTTTCCCAGGGAAACTTGGTCAAAAGGAGAATGAGGCTGAAGAACACAAAGCCAGGCCTAAAAATTCTGTTTAAGAACAAAGCTATCTTATTTTTAAGAAAGAATTCAGAGACGTGGGATGAGGTAAAAAGATGAAATATTTAAATCTGAAAATAGAAGGATCTGTCTGTACTTTGGCTGGTGCAGTTGTATTATTTTGTTTAGTGGGTGCATGCTGAATCTTTACTATGTGCGATATCAGCGAGGCACATTCCCTGCGTTCAAAAAAGTGCATGTTGTATACAAACAACTCAAATGCAAGGCAGAAAATATTTGTTGCAGTAGAGGGTCCGAAAACGTCATTTAAGATACAGAAGAAAGAGATTTATTACACTCGGAGGATTAGACCAGGTTTCATGAAGGAACTAGCATCTGATCCAAAGCTAACCCATGGGTAGAAATGTGGGCCAACGTGAAGCCAACCAAAGCACATCAGTGGCGGCCTTACAGCCAACGAGTAATCCTGCCTGGATGAAACACTGGGGAAGGCACATAGAGTTAGATTATTAGCAGTCGATCATGAAGACCCCAGAATGTCATCAGAGTGTTGGCAATTTATTTTGAAGACGGCAGAAAACCACAGAAGGGTTTTGAAATGGAGTAAGTAGTAACCAAAACTGTGTCTTAGGTTATTTAATGGCAGGAAGGAGTCGTTGTTGCATTGGATTAGGTGGGCCTGAACCAAGAGAACAAAATCAAAGTAGATGGCAATTTCGTAAACATAAAACAGGAAATGGAGTCAAGGGAATGAATGACACTGTGACAATGGACAATGACTCTTGGGGACTAATGTCAGCAGTGAGAGAGGTACAAGATGTTTTGAGGTTTAATGTCTGCGTGCTGGGGAGGTTGACAATGCCCTTAAAAAGAAAAAGGAAACAGAGGAAGATGAGATTGGGGGAGGAATGGGATTTTATTCATTCAGTAGATATGTACTGGGCACTTCCTGTGTGCCAGGCACTGCTCTGGGGGGATGAGAAAATTATCTAATTACCTTTACTTTTCAGAGCACTTTCTGCGAAAGAGGCACTGTTCCCAATCTGTGCAACTCCCAAAGCAGAGCTCGAGCCAGTGTAGGAAGGGAAATATCTCTCTAATACCCGGAGGCTTCTTGAGAAGTAGTAAGAGCTCTGTTACGGGCAGTATTCAAGCAAAAGTTAGACGATATTCTTCCAGGAACGTAGTAGCAATGGAGTCCTACATTAGGAGGGAGATTAGACTAAACTTTTTGCTAGTTCTCTCCCTATCTCGAGTCTATTTTTTTCTGATGAGCTAGTCCTGTGGGTTCTATTATTAATCTCTGGCTTCTCCCAATTATTAAGCAAATTACTCTGTCTGCCATTCAGTAAAACTCACACATTTATATCTGTTATTCTTGAATTATTTTTGGTTAGGGCTCTTCTTTATTTAAAAAAAAAAAAATCCTGCCCGGTTAATGCTACCTGTGTAGTTAATTTAGAGTGGTAAATTCTGGTAGATTGTGTTATAAATCTCAGAGGGGGGAAGGATTTCTTATGCCTAATACTATTTTTGCTTTGGAGAAGCCCTGCAAACAAGAAGTAAATTATCCTGACTTCAAGATCGTGATGCAGTTTCTGTATTTTGCAGTAATTCAAAAAGGAAAAAATTATGTCAGAGAGGTTCATTTTGCTACAGCATGGTAAAGAAAAAGCACAGTTATTCTCCGAACACTGTTAACGCTTTAGATCAGGAACACTTCTCTGTGCTGCTTTTTCGAAAAGGAGAAGGAAGCCTGTCGTGAGCTCTGTGGCAAGCGACGGTTCAAGCTTCCCCTTCCCCGGTGTCTTCCGAGACGCCAAAATCCCACAACAAAGGGCTCTGGAACGGGAACCAGGACGAAGACTCAATTCGGATCTGAGCACTCGGTCTGCCTTTGCGTCTTGCTATTTTCTGCATTTGTTTTGACTGCTCCCATCATTCAAGATTGACGCTTGGATGGGTGTGTGGGAGGGAGCCGCAGCAGCAGGCTTACAGCTTGCAGACAAAAAAAATCTGCCTTATCTGATGGCTATTATTGCAAAAGCGAGGTGTAGCCGGGCTGGGTAATGAAGGGGAGCGAGCGAGGGGGAGCCGGGCGGTGGAGCGGCATACTGATGAGTGTGGGAGTGCTTATGGAAGAGATCCTGGCTGCTCATTGTGGAGTACTCCAGCAGCCGCACAGGACGCAGCCCAGCCCAGGCTGACAGCTTGCGATGCCTTCTCCTTCTGCCTGGTTCTGGGGGCTGCGTGACGCACTGGTCGGTAGTAAAGATTAGTGTGTCAGAAATGTGGAGCTAGGATCAAGTCGCACTCCGCAGCCTGCCTGGCAAACTATGTTTGACTTCTGACTTCGCTCTCTCGCGCGCCGAGAACCTAATCTGTCAAGCTGGCGGGCTCCTTTGATAGCAACTTTCCCAGGAGCATGATGTGGCAATGCCACCTCTCAGCCCAGGACTACCGCTACTACCCCGTGGATGGCTACTCCCTGCTTAAACGCTTCCCTCTTCATCCTCTTACAGGACCCAGATGCCCCGTCCAAACAGTGGGACAATGGTTGGAAAGCATTGGGCTACCTCAGTACGAGAACCACCTGATGGCTAATGGATTTGACAATGTGCAGTTCATGGTAAGACGCTCTCTGTATCCACGGGGCTGCCTTTTGTCTGTCTTTGCTTTCTATGTGTCTTATGAGGCTCGGAGACAGCCTGATTTGCACCAGCACCGGTGGGTTTTTTGTATGCGACTGCATCGGATGATCGGATGCCCTTAGGACTGAACTTGCTGCGTGCATTTAGACACTTGCCGAAACATAGCTTGATATATGTCCGTGTACATATGTGTTATGGGAATGAACCGGTGAGAGTCCTATTTATAGGCAGTGAGAGGAGATTCACATTGACATTCTCCCTGTCATTCCTTCTGATTTCTTGTTAATATGTAATCTTAGAATACCCAGTCAGACCCTATCACTCTTCAGTGCATTCTTGATTCCTAAAACATATTATTTCACTGGAATATCAGTGTTTAGTGGTTAATTAGACAGTTTGTTATATTTATGGTATGAAAATCATCTTTTTCCTGACAGCAGTTCAATAAGCATTTTAAATCGTGTGGACAACCTTCAGTTCGTTAGCAACCAGCTTCAGATGGTCAATTATGGAGAGCATTCACTTACTTAGACATGCTGATTGAAGCACAGTGAATTGTCTCTTGCTGTAGGTGGAAAACAAACACTTCGGTCAATGAGCTGCCAATATTTAGAAGAAGAGGTTTAAACAAAATGCATTCATGTACTTCTAAATCTGGTCTACATGCAGTCTGACCCTGGCATGTGCAAACTTCCCTGTGATGTATGTAGGTGAGGAAGGCAGATGGGGGGGTGCAGACCCACAATCCAGCTTTCTCATCATTTCCATGCCTCCTCCGTGCCCATCGGTTCCTCTTGTTAAGCTACGTCACAGCTCAGTTATCTTTCCTTGTCTTTAAGGTCCCACCAACATCTCACCAATTCCTAAATTTAGAAAGACCTACATAACAGGGCATGCAGCACACAGATGGCTTATAGAAATAAGTAATAGCCATTCCTCAGGAAAATGCCAGGGCTGACACCTGCAGCTTCCTGATTCCAGAACTGATCACAAAATACTGAGAGCTAGTCAGGTCTCTCTCTGTATGTCTGTTTTCGATTATTTTTTTCTCTGAGCTTGACTTGACTATCATAGATTTGAAGATTTTTAAAACTGTTAAACTTCTGTTCCTTCTCCAAAAGTATATATGCCCATGAGCTTTAAAAAATAGAAAAGACAAACATAGTAAGACATGAGAGCTTTAAGTAATTGTATGCATACGGCCCATAATGAGCGTTTTATTGTTTTGTTTTTTATGATAAGATATGCAGCTACTGCTATTCTTCTAATTTTTATCAAGCACTGTCATTGATTGGTAGACAAGATATTGTGGGTATTGAAATAATAGAAAAAAGTGAATGCTCTTCAATTGCTTAGAACACTGAGCAAATTGAGGAGAGACAGTACACTAAACAGACAGCACTAAGAATTAGAGGAACAATCATACAGAATGAAAGTCTTCATCATTATTTATGCTTCCTGCACATTTCAATGTCATTATTCATTCTCCTTATCTCTATTTGAAATCAGGCTTTCTTATCCCCCCCCCCAAACCCTTGTCCAAATTTATCCTGGTCCCATGAGAAGTTAGATCTTTGGAGTCCCCGGGTCGTTTGGTTACTCTGAAAGACTTTAATTCAGCTTAATTTTCCTGCAAGTGTTAAAACACTTATGAGCAATATGAGATCTTTTTGAAAGCCTCGAACTGAAAAGTTAAACAAACAAGTTTCAAATAAGCATTTGGGGAGATATCGTAAAAATATTCATGAATGAATCATGTATAAGCACTACAAAATGTATCTGAAAGGCAAAAACCCTGTACATGAGTGACAAAACTGAGGTCTAATCATAGATTATTGTCTTCACTTGTCTAATTCCAAGTATTATATTTATTTTCTAGAAAATAAGATATTATTATTCAGATGGGCCAAATGCTCTATGAGGCAATTACTTTTTTAAAAAACTTTAAATTATCACTTTGAGGAGTTAATTAATTATGAAAATGAAGCAAATTATAAAATATCAATTAGAGCTTTGCACGCTGTTATACATCACTTATTTGCTACTGGTATCATAAGAGATGAATTTCTACCTTTGTAAAATTGTGAGTTGATCTATGTAATCTAATTTATTTAATTATGAGCTCAGTTAAAGTACTATTGACTCACTTTAAGAAACATATTTTATTAATGTGGCAAAAAATCTGTTAGACCTGCTTGGTCTCCTCTCAGTATCATATTCTAGCTTTTGTTTTTCTTGAAGCACATTCTGACCTGCATTTATTCATTCTGTTGCCTAAGCAACAAGCACCACACTCCTATTAACTGTGAAGTGTGCAGGTCCTATTAGCTTTTGAGAACAAGATAGTAGACATCAAAAGGATATAATTAATGATGATCGAAGCAGAACAGTACATATGTATACTGTACAGAATGTATACATATATTTGATTGAGGAAACATTCTCAGGAGCTAATTTTTATTCAATCAATAATCCTTTAGGGAATGTGAGTTTAAAGGGTCCATATAAGTAATTTCAAAGTGAGGTATTAATTGAAATTTTTTTTTTTTTTTTGCTAAATCTGCTCTACATATATACTTTCACACATAAACACAATATATATGGATGATTTAGCACCATGGCTATGATTAACTTTAATTAGACCATTTACATCAATTTCTAGACATGCTTAGAAAAGACGGGGCCTTATTTGTTTTTAAATATCTGTCAATTATTGCTTCTCCTTCAAGCTCTTCATACTTATCTTTGATTTTATAGATGTATGATCTTTTCCCTCCTATCTTAAAGTCAGAATCCAAACTTTTTCTTTACGTATTTCATCTTGGTTTAAAGAACAGCTGTGCACACAATTTGGACCCTACTGTATCCTTAAAAATATAAAATAAGTAGAAATCGGTGCAGTAAACAATAGCTACAAAAGTACATCAGGTCACCCAAGACTTTAGAAGGTCACACCTGTGTTGAGATTTCAAAACAAAAACTCCTTCCCAACAGACTCCTCTGTCTGAAGGCTGGCCCAGGTCCCCCTAAGCAGTCCACCCCCTGAAGTCACGCGTCATCACCCCATTCCTGCCCTCCAGCCTCTGGGAGGGCCTCTCTGTCCTCCAGCATCTCATTCACCTCCCCTGAGTCTGCAACACGTAGAATGTGTCTGAACTTCAGCATTACTTTTTTTTTTCCACCAAGGAGTTTGGGTGTGAAGTGATTACTATACAAAATGCACAGGCTTATTTCTTGTTTTGTTTGTCTCTGCCGTCATATTTCTTTTTCCAAGTCCCATGACTGCTTCCTGAATTTGAAGTCTCAAACGATCTCTTCTTGTCTTTGCTCATCTGTGCTCCCCGCCACTCCTCTTGGACGGCTGTTCCCTTTCCTTCCCCTCTGTCATTTATCCTCAGGGGTATGACTCAATTCCTGCCTGGTTTATGTAGCTTTCCTGAACGACTCCACTCCATCACAGTCTCTCTCCTCTGAGCTCATGCAGTGGCTACGTTCGATATGAAAGATGACACTGGGCAAGCCATTGTTCTCTCTCCAGAATCAGAAGTTTCCACGTGTGTATAACTTGTCCCCTCAACGAGACCGGAAGCTTCTCAAGCCCTTGTTCTGTGTCTTCAGTTTCCTTGCCTTCGCATAACTTCTAGCATAGTGCTGTGTACAGAGAAATCAGCCTGTGAAAACCGAAGGCACCGCCAGTGGCTGAGGGTGGGCCTCCGGGCTCATTTTTAAACAGGCAGCCTTGTTTGCCAATGGGAGCGTTGTGCATTCGTGTCCTTCACTCATGCATCAAACACTTGAAACACATCCTGTGGGCCAGGGACACAGTGAAGTACCTGGGATGTAGCAGGGAGTGAGACATAACTCTCACCCTCAAGTAAAGAGCGGTATTGCCCTAAGACCTAAGACCCGCTACGCTATTTGCATACGCATCGTGCACATGTTTCTTCTGGCACACGTGGGCACACACGCACGTGCACACCACTGTAGCACAGGGATCTTGCCCCTCTTCTTTCCGTATGATCACCACCATTCAGCATATGCACTTACTAGGAATTGTTTTCCCAGCAACAAATTACAGTTGATAATGGAAGAGGTGAAATCTATCATAGCATGAAGATAAAGATACTGCTGACGTCAAAGCCTGGCAGACTGATAGTCTGAAGACTGTATGAAGAAGCTGATATTACTTGGAGGAGGACTGACTCATAGCCTCACCACGATAACTTGCTGGCAGTTATATTTGTCAACTCTAATAAAAAAAGGGGAAAGAATGAAATTATTACCAATTCATTTTTTTAAGCATCTCCTGAGTTTCTAGCAATTGCCATCTAGGTTGACCTCCCGTGCTTTGACCATTATTAAAATGTTTCAAATGCAGCCTTCAGAGTAAGGACTAGAAATAATGCTGATAGCTCCACAGAATTGGTATTTTGTACACTTGTGTGGATAGCATTCGTGAAGGACTTGCTGAAGGGCAAAGTGAGTGTGCCTGTTAGGCACTGAAGCAGAACCACAGAGCTTTTGGGGTCATTCATTTGTATAATGCTGTTGAGCAGGACAGAGCTCATACGTATTTAATTGAAACTTTTTCCCCATCACTGTGGTGCATTTTACATGCTCATGGACTTACATCTCCTTTCCACTTTTACCTAACTTTTCTGCAAAGAGAGCATCTTTTGCAGTTGACCTGATCAAATGACCTTTTAAGTATCTTAGCAGCATATCGTGATCCAAGTAAGACGTTAGACTGGTGAAGTAGAAAAATAAATTCACCCCTAAAGGGTGAGACTAATCATCTCCATGACTATTTCTTGTTCCAATATTGTTTAGGAAAATTTTATGAACTTACTGAGATTTAAAGGTACAAGAGAAAAATACCTGTCACACTCCCTACGCCTTCCTGTTTCTGAAACAGACTAGGCTCAGAGTTGAGTGGGCGGCCTTATATTGAAAGTACAGCTATAATTTCTAAACTCAT